TAACTTCGTGCGATATCGTATTTAATAATAAATAACAACTAGTGCATAAATAAGGACCTTGTTAGGAGTAATATTTTACATGAAAAAAACATCCCAGAAACTTTTTAAACTGGTTCAATGCCCCTATTATATCTCTGTCAAATTCTTAACCCAAACTCAAAACTTTATTAATCTATCTATTAAAAATAATCTTTCTTTGTTGTAAACTTTACATGGCCATTTAAGGTAAAATGGATCAATTTTAATATATTTTGGACTGGCGTATCTTAAAATAAATGTTCATATGGTGTTAAATCTTTTGTTTGACAATGATACGGTCTCGCTTGGATAATGAAATTCAAATGAAGTGTAATTTAATGTCCTATCAATTGAACAAATGAAGACGGGTCATTGGGGAAAGAAAGACTGAAGAAAATAACCCGAGAAAAAGAAAAACCGAGGCCGGTACTGTCAAGGGTTTTTTCTGAAGTCTTTCTTCCCCAGCATAACCGAAGTCGAGGACTTTATCTTGCTTATAGACCGTCTATGTTTACATGTACGCAAGATGAGAATATCCCAGAATTCCCGTAAGAAAAACCTTATATCATGATTTCTTATGAAAAAAAAACCCGGTACAGGTTTAAAGAAAAACTTTCAGAAGAATAACCCCAAATTTCCCTGTATATATCCAAAGCCGCCCCCGCCTTTCAGACCTCAAGTTATTCCGGGCATAGAATATACCCCAAAGATCAAAGAGATTTACCGTTACAGGTTTATAATTCCCCAGTATAATCTCAGTCTCGTGCTTTATGCTACACTTAATAGAAGTTAGTATAATTAACCAGATTCTGAAGACATTGCAGTGGTACACAACTGTGCATTTTCACAGAACTTAGATAAAGACAAAAAATATTTATAGTTTATTACTTTCTCTACAATAATATTAAATAAGATAATATTTATGTGATTTTATTATTTAAACATACATTATGCCAATCTGTTTCACAGAGAATTACGAGTCTTCTAATATCTCTGTAAAAGATGACTGTCTTTAACACGTGCCGTCACAGCACGCGGCGTCAATCATTGGCTGAATGGCGCGTGCATTGTTTACATAAGACGTTACTGCTTCGGGCAGAATGCTGCCTTTTAGTCATTTTTATACCCATTTACCAATCTAATTAAAATATAGATCTATATTTCGTTTCGTTTTTTATACTTTCGATGGCCTACACTACATGTAGATCTAACAAGTTATAGTGGGAGTTCACGTTATATGGCGTCAGGTACTAAGCAAGTGACATTTGACCCGATTACGTCTGTCATTCGATTAACCAATTAGCGACCGCCATGTATTTTTTTATCTACTTTTGCTTTGTTTTGATTTCTATTGCCGCTAATGTCTACCCACAGTTCCGCGCAAAAAAGGTCAGACGCTCGATTCCACAGACCATTTGATTGGCTGACCCTTCATTTCAAGCAGAACACGAGTTCCAGATCCAAGTGTAGTAAAGACAAGTAAAATCGAAATTTTGAACTATAAACACGAAACGAAATTGGATCTGTGTTTTAATCAGATTGACCCATTTACACTAAATAGGAAATAATTTTTACCTACAAATACGTCAAACGTCTTTATTTATTTTTCTAATACATCAAAAAAAAAATGTTTTAGAATTTCATTTGTCGGTGGAAAAAAGTTAATATTTGAGACTCATTAAGTCGCATTGATGTCACCCTTATCAGTGATTGTAGCGGCCTAGCGAATATTCACTGCTGATCAGTGTGACATTATGCAAGAGCTATGGGTCTTTCTTTAGGCCTGAAATGTTATATAAATTATTTATTATACATTAATTAACTTATCAAGACCATAATCAACTCTCGATGGCATCGCTAGCCTGCGATATTTACTGGATTAAAACCGGTCTGCAGCTTCTGATTAAATCAAACAAGAGCATCGCTAACGCTGGAATATACGTCCACGTTCCAGCTTTGATTGAGAATGAAAAGGAGGCTAGGCGTTGGGTTTGTTTTGCCAAATTTACAGACAAAATATTAACAAAAAAGTGGGTATGACACTGCCCCAGGAGGTTGGGGCATGCACCAAAATAAATAGTTGCTGTCTTTACGGTATAAGGAATAAATATGCAAAATTCCAAGATGATCCATTCAGAATTGCAGCCTGTAGATGATAAATACAAAAATCGGGTGTGGCTCTGCCCCTGGGGGTTGAAAATGGAACAATATAAATAGGCACCACCCTGTTATTGAAATGACAACATCAATAGTTGCCATCCTTAGGGTATAAGGAATAAGTATACCAAGTTCCAAGATAATCCTTTCAGTAAGGGCATTCACCAAAATCAATAGTTGACACCCTTAGGCTATAAGGAATACATATGCCAAGTACCCAGTTAATCCATTCAGAATTGCGGCCTGTAAACGATAAACACAAAAATTGGGTGTGGCTCTGGCCCTGGGGGTCACCGGACATGCAGTTGTCATTCTTAGGGTATAAGGAATAGGTATGCAAAGTTTCAAAAGGATCTGTTAAGAATTGTGGCCTGTAGGCGAAACACAAGACACACAAACATTGGGCGGGGCTCTGTCCCAGGGGGTCGGGCATCCACCAAAAATAATAGAGGTCAGCCTTAGGGTATAAGGAATAAGTATAAAAAAGTTTTCAAGACGACTGATTAAGCATTGCAAGCTGTACTGACACACATAAAGAAAATGGGCGTGCCTCTGCCCCTGGGGGTTGGACATTCACCAAAAACTATAGGGATGTGGTTCTTGTCGGACATTTTACCGAAAATAAAGGGGCATAACTCTTATCGTTATTTAAGCAGAAGAATTCATACCACAATTAACTAGAAATGGGCGTGGCTCTGCCCCTGGGGGTCGGGCATGCACCAAAAACAATAGGGATCTTCCTTGGGGTATAAGGAATAAGTATACCAAGTTTGAAGAAAATCCAGTAAGAATTGCGCCCTGTAGGCGACACAAAGACACACGAAAAGAAAATGGGCGTGGCTCTGCCCCTGGGGGTTGGGCATGCACCCCAAACGATAGGGATGTTCCTTAGGGTACAAAGAATGTGTATGCAAAGTTTCAAGATTATTAGTTAAGAAATGTGGCCTGTAGACGACAAACAAACAAATACTAGAAATGGGCGTGGCTCTGCCCCGGGGGGTCGGGCATGCACCAAAAACAATAGGGATCTTCCTTGGGGTATAAGGAATAAGTATACCAAGTTTGAAGAAAATCCATGAAGAATTGCGCCCTGTAGGCGAACCACAGACACACACACACACACACACACACATACATACATACACACACACACACACACAGACAGGGGCGACGGCATAATACGTTCACATTATGAATGTGGACGTATAAAAATGGATAATCGAGACAGCTGCAGGTGAGGGAACAGGGGGAGAAGGATGTTGATATAGATGAATAAATTTGATAATTAAAGATTTTGGTTTTGTTGTTAATGGATGTTGTTTGTGCTGCATGCAAGATACCCTTAATTTCTACCATCTAGAGTTCGCTTGTGCATAGGTTTCTTCAGCAGTGAAAGGAAATGACCTCGAGAAAACTGAAAAGGTTGGATAGGAGACCCGACTTCTTTAACGTACAAGCAGACATTCGAAACCACGCCACTTGACTCAATGCGTTAACCCACTAGACCATCCAACCTCCCTCTTTAAGAAGGGATAGGACAGGGAATAGCCATATGTTGCCATCTTTGGCCCACATCTGGCATGACATGATTTTCATGCGAGGGACATATTTGGGCCAGTATCGTTGTGCCATCTGTGGCCCACATGTGGCATGCCATATATTTGCTAACTGTTAGCTAGATCTGGGCCATACATGGTCAGCGTGTGAATTAGCGACTGTGGGTCAAATCTGGCTCTGTGACAAATATGGTGTGTTGTCTGGTTAGTAATCGAACTATCCATGAATCCATGATGAACAAGGTTTCCTGTAACACTGTGACAGGCCTGAGCCGAGACAAGTACTGCCTGAATGCTCTTGCGCATGTCACATCCTTATTATCCCTCATGACACACTAGTCACTAGACTATCTTGTCTATAGTGTATTAGTACAAACTTTTCTCGGAATCCCCAAAAGTACACATTTGGTTCAAAATTAAATGAAATGGGTTTTAACGTCCTAGTGTTCTGCCCTGACTGGGCTACTGAAGACGGGCTTACGCCATACAGTGTGCTTTGAGGGAAATTTTGCCCGGGCAGCGGCACTATGGCCTACTCTTATATCGAATTCCAACTGAGAAGGGATCTTTAATGTGCACGATTGCATGCCAATGTATACACGGGGCGTAGGTTTTTTGTACTATCCTGCACCACTGACAATAAATAACACAAAGAAAGGTGGTAATTCATTTTAAATCAGGGGTTAAAGACAAATTACATATTAAATGATTTACTTTTTAGTTATATAATATATGACAAATGATGTGTGGTTGGCATATGAAGGACGGCTAAATCTATGTATAAAGGCCAGCATACACCTTGCAATCTGATTAAGATACAAATCTGTATTTCGTTTCGTTTCTTTATACATTCGATGACCTACACTACATGAAGATTGTACGAGCGGCTTTTGACCCTATGACATCAGGCATTGATTAATGAATCAGCATTCACGTTTCTAGTGGTTTTCCCAAAGTTCTGTGCATTGCACGCCAAGAGGTCGCCATAACAGATGAAATGGGGTGTAACATCCTACTGTTCTGCATCACTAACAAGGGAGACCACCCCGGAAATTCCAGACAAACTTTCTTGGTCAACACAAAGATCGAGCACGGGACCTCCAGTTTAGCAAGCCAATGTCTTACTCACTGAGCCAGAAGAGCATGTACGACTTTTCGGCCATCGGTCAGCATCTATTTAAACCTTGCGTATTAATCACTATGGTCGACACATCATCGGTCAAACATTATATTTATTTGTGGACATAAATGGTTCCATGAAAACATATCTTTAAAAAAAAAACCACCCTTTATCTTTAATAATTCAAATAAATATACTCTTAATCAATTATTTGTAGAACTTTGTGCAAATATATATTAAATAATCCGGCTAATCCCACATTATTTGTCTAAGATGAATGGCAGAATACTCACAACCTAGAATGATGATATAAAATATTGCACAGGGTAATATTAATCAATAAAGATGGAATATGATTAGGTGTGATCAGGGCTGTCCCCGCCCACACACCCTAGTCATAACGTTTTCTTTGTTGGTGAAGTCCTCCAGACAAAAGAAACACCTTCAACAATATCATATAAATATATAGACTATAAAATGTACTGGTAATATTTATTTTGTATTTATAAATAATTTGATATTGAACCCACACACTCTAGTCAAAATCTTTTGTTGTGGTGAAGTCCTCCAGACAAAACAAACCCTTCGAAAATATCATATAAATATATAGATTATGAATGTACTGTTAATATTTATTTTGTATTTATAAATAATTTGATATTGAGCCCAAAGACTCTAGTCCTCCAGGCAAAACAAATGGCTTCAACAATATCATATAAATATATAGATTATGAATGTGCGGGTAATTATTTTGTAGTAAATATAAATTATTTGATAATTTACCATATACAGATATTTTTGGAGAGAGAGAGAGAGAGAGAGAGATGGGGTTTAACTCCACTCCACACAAACTAGGTCATTTCGGGACTAACATAAAACGGCTTCCACATAAGTTCACTAATACAAAATTTGGAGCATGTTTTGTTTTCAGGGGATGGGTGACTGTCTGTTATCAATTATTAATATGGCTCCATTGTAGAGCTTTTCACCTAATAAATAGTGGATTAATGCACCTTCGAGCAAATACATCTCTTGTTAAATATGTTATAATTTAAAGCAAATATAACATTTGATAAAGCAATAAAGATCATGTAAAAATAAATTAAATTTCTATGCTCCTCAGTTGAAACCATGAGATTGTCTCATAAACCATTACTTCAATATTAACACTGGATTTTGTCAGATCCTAAAAAGTTGGTGGCGTACAGGCCAGGGGATACAGTGTCGGGCAAGACAGTCTCAAAAATTCTGGAAATAATTACAATAACTATTCAAAAGAACAATCTTCAGATACTAATATTTCAATCTATAGTATCAAGAATCGCACTGATATTATCAATATTCACATCACTTTTCGGCTATCGGTGTGTCTCATGTCTCTGGTCATATTCCAGCAAAAATAAAGAACTATGAGTGAACCTGTGACTCCCTCAAACAGACCTGGAAATAATGGTTTTAAATGTACCCGACAAAATGTCAGGCACAAAGGAAATAGTACCTGACATTTTCAACTTAGTGCTGGACATGTATTAAAAATATCAATAAAAAAGACAAATCAGTGCCGGACAAAATGACATTGTCTGTGACAGATGCCTTATTTCCAGGCTTGCCCTCAAACAAATAGTCCTGTACACCTGTGTATGATGAAGTCAATGGATGATGTGTACGTCAGGTGTCGGTAACGTCAGGTGTCGGTATATATTAGGAGTCTTTGGAATGTCTTAAATATAAACACATAACACAAAAGGAGATTCTTGTAAAATAAAATATAACAACAATAACTGTGATCTATATGGTATCATGTATAGGACAGAAGAGTGACATCATAACACCCATCCACCTGAAAATATAAAAACAAAAACTATATTTAAAGAAATGAATTGGGGTGTAACATCTGTAGTTTATGCAAAATATGGTTCTGCTCCGACTGGGAGGGGGTTGGATGGCTGAATGGTGCGCGCGCTGTATCATAAAGTCTGTCATTGAGTCGACTGACGTGGTTTCGAATCCCCGGTTGTACGTGACAAGGAGTAGGGTCGCCTGTCCAACCTCGTGGGTTTTCTCCGGGTCCTCCAGTTTCCTCCCACTGCTAAAGACCCTACGCGCAAGCAAATTATTAAAATAAAAATTAAACCATATGTTAGTCCCGAAATGACCTAGTTTGTGTCGAGTGGACGTTAAACCCCATTTCTCTCTCTCTCTCTGCTCCGACTGGGTTAATGAAGACAGATTTTTACGTGCACGCCAGTGTGTCACAGGACCTTGGTTTTTCATACCATCCGAATGACTATACATTGTCCCTTGCCAGGCCCCTTCTATTCTACACCACTGACAAAGGGGAACCACGCCGGACAATCCTGATGAACTTTCTCAGCCGACACAGGGATCGAACACAGGCCATCCAGAATAGCAAGCCAACGTCTTACTCACTGAGCCACTTAGTTTTATTTATCAACCAGGATAATGTCGATGAGCATAAAACATGCAGTGCACTATGAGTGACATTTTGCCCAGACAGCAGCATTACTGCTTACTCTTATTTTGATTTTCAATTGTCAGGGGATTTTTAATACACGAAACCTCGATTTTTCATCTCACCAGAACGACTCTACATTGAAATATGGACTTTATGGAATGGGCCAGCACCAGAACAACAGGGTTATTAAAAGATATGTACCCTCGAACAAAATTGTCTATGATATCACCTCAGTGGAAGCGGAGTTAAATAAAGATATTTCACACACAAGAACAAAATTATCCCATTTGTTTGACACCATCAATTTATATTTGTAATGATCAGGAATAATAAAATCATAGACTTGGATAGCGTTGATAACTTTAGTGAATGAATTGCTCACAGTTCAGTATATCTTGCTAGTGTACAACATAATGGCGGTTACATCAAACTTTGTATGTAGTCATTCATAAAAGTTTCTCTGAAGTTTCTTGATAAATATGTTGTTAGCAACAAGTATATTTTCAATGCAGTTTAGAGATGATGGTTATGTATTTATAAACATATCTTCTTATTTCAAAATCCTTCTAAAAAAGTTATATTGTCTGAAATACTCACATCATATCTGCCCAAAGGGACAGTACTCTGATTTGAAGACACATCTTCTGCCATAGCCCATAGTTCTTGAAGATGAGCTGATAATGCATCTAAGTCTGGAACTCCCTGTAATAGTTCAACATAAGTTGCCAGGCAATGAAATATATGTCCACAACATGACTTATTTCTGGTTTGTGTTTGAATATCAGATGAAATTTGAAAGTGGTTTGATTGAGCAGAATTTCTTGAATAATTTAGTCAATCAATATTTGAGGTGGGTAAGAATCATTCAGCATGTAAATGACAAAAAGTAGGATTTGTGTTACAATAGGCATTTTCCTTACTAAAATTTAACAAAAATGGAGGCCAAAAGGTGTTCTTTAGACAGTAATATGGATGGTTAAATCAAAACATGTCGGTCAGATGCCATCTTGATGCTAATGGATATTTTAACACAGTTGGCCATGTTGTGTCCTTGAGATTGCTAAAAAAGTAAAATAAAACTTTACTAAAAGATTAGTCTTGATAGGGGTATTGACCCTTAGGTAACAATAGATTAAGAGAGTTTGATGACACTGAAAGGATGTGGAGATTGTTGGGCTAACATGATAAGACTAATACAGTACCGGTAGTTTGGGTTTTTCAGCTGCTGGCTCTTCTGTTGTTGTTTCTTCTGGAGCTGTCAACCAAGATGGCAGATCCAAAGGTTTCAATGCCTGAATAGAAAAAAAAACCTTTATGAAAAACAATTTTTTTTTAGATCTGCATGTATCAATAACTCATTTGTTTATTGCCTACATTGCACATTAAAACCTGATCAAAGGGAGACAACTAATTTTATACCTGAGAAGTTCTGAAGAACTGTAGATCTTCTAATTTAAAATCTTTCCAAACTGGTGATGGTTGGTGAAGAATGAAGCGCAGTGTTGATAAATTCACAATATCAAAATTAAACTGGAAAAGGAAAACAAATTAACTAATGTATTTAATTGAATAATAAAAACGTCTTTACATATTTTTGACCTTGATGTTAGATTATACATATGTATATTGCATAATTATTTTCTCTGTGATGTCACCCTCTGTGGAAGTAGACGTCAAGCCCTACGAACCTGATGTACATAGCAGTAAGTGCAGGGGGACCGCACCACACACAAACAAACCTACAGACAGTACACAATATACAGACACCACAAACAACAAACACACATATTAAATCAAGTGAATGCATCCAGGGGCGTGACTTAAGTGTCCAATGCGCTGTACAGTCCTGAGCCTGTAATAATACAGGCTTCACTTAAACTGAAAACAAACATTGATATACAAAAAAGATGTAATGCAACCAGGCCTAGGTTTATGAACGATTACCTTGTTCTGTCTTTAACAGACAATTTAATTTCAACAATTAATACAATCTGATTACAATACAGGTTTATATTTTCGTTTCGTTTTTTTATACTTTCGATGGACAACACTACATGAAGATCTGACCGGTTGTTGCAATAGGTCACGTCAGAGGTCATACGAGCGGCTTTTGACCCTATGACATTTGATTTACCAATCATCATTGATGTTACTAGTGGATTACCCACAGTTCTGTGCCAAACACGCCTAAAGCTCGCCGTAACAGACCGTTTCATTGGCTAATCCCTCACATCATTCAGAACATGTCAATGATAACAACTCTTCCAGATCCTAGTGTAGTAAAGACAAGTAAAACGAAATTTTGAACTATAAAAACGAAATAGGATCTGTGTTTTAATCAGATTGCAATTAATATGACTATTGTGGAATGTTAGATTGTTTTCAGTGTCTTGGTCATGTATGTAATGAAAATTTTGTTCTACCTCAACACTGCCTTGGTACTGAAAACTTTTAATTTAGACATGTATTATAACCTGTGCTTTTAGTTTTGAAATTAAAATAGATCTGCCTCAAACTTGTATTCTTTGTGCAGTTATTAATCTGTTGATCATGTTAAAGGGACATTAAGTAAGATTAGATGAAGAGTTGATAGTTCTCGCTATAATAGTTAAAAAATAGATAATGAAAATTTCAGTCAAATTGCTTCACTCTGAATCGAGATATTAGCGATTCAATTTTAGGCTAGCTTCGACAGTGATCTTGATTGTTCATTTTTACATTAAATTATCTATCACAAATGTATTAAAATCTTCAAAATAACACAGGCTATTAAGAGAGAGAGAGAGAAATGGGGTTTAACGTCCACTCGACACAAACTAGGTCATTTTGGGACTGACATATGGTTTAATTTTATTTCAATAATTCGCTTGCGCGTAGGGTTCTTTAGCAGTGGGAGGAAACCGGAGGACCCGGAGAAAACCCACGAGGTTGGACAGGCGACCCTACTCCTTGTCACGTACAACCGGGGATTCGAAACCACGCCAGTCGACTCAATGACAGACTGTATGATACAGCGAGCGCACGCTAACCATTCAGGCATCCAACCCCCCTCACAGGCTATTGATGGCATCGAGAGTTGATTATGGTTTGGAAAAATTAATTAATTTCTAATTAATAGTTTATATAACATTTAAGGCCTAAGGAAAGACCTGCAATAGGCAGATTTAGCTTTTGCATAATGCATCTTTAACTTACAATGCATTTACATTTACATCTCTTTTCCCCATTCCTAGTTGTTTTTCAATCTGATTAAAATACAGATCTATATTTTGTTTCATTTTTATATACTTTCGATGTCCTACACTCCATGAAGATCTGACCGGTTGTACTGGAAGGTTGCATCAGGGGTCATACGAGCGGTAACATAACAACTCATTCAGATCCAAGTGTAGTAAAGACAAAACGAAATTTTAAACTATAAAAAACAAAAAGAAATAGGATCTGTGTTTTAATCAGATGGATTTAAATATATAAGTCTGTCAGGTAATTAAACATGCCCACCAGCAGCTTTGTCGTCAAAGCTGTGGATCAATCAAAAGTAACATACGTGTTTTCTGTTCAGATAGAAATAGCTATGTGATCCATCTTCACTATGTGGATCAGGCATCATTTGAAATCTCCGAACACATGTTCTCCATTTTAGGTCTCCTACAACAAAGAAAACATAAACCTCAGATTATTGTCTATATATGATGAGGTTTTTGAGTGTATCAACATGACACATCACTGTGTGTCATAGCAAACTTACGCTGCTTGTCTACAGTTAGCTCCTGTATGAAGTAGATGCATCGCTGTGTGCAGTATGATCAGTGTGTATGAGATATGAATTGTATACTTTTTTCTGTTCTTCTATTTGACCGAGAAAAAAATTCCTCTGGAATTTCCAATCTGTGTGGATGGGGGGTGGGGGGCCTGGCAAGAAATGGGATGAAAACACATTGGCAGCTGCACACTTATGACCCCCCCCCCCCTCACAGTTGGCCTTGGCATTGCGGTACATACAGGGAAATTTAATTCATAGTGCACTGCATGACATAGCCTCATCTTCATTAGCCTGGTTGGTGCAGAAAAGTACAATTTCATTCCATTGTATTGTCTTTTATTTATATGCCAGTAGGAGATGAAAAGGGAGGGGGGGGGGCAATTCACTCTGGGTGTACTGTCACTTTTTGTGGTCCACTGCTATGAAAAAATAAAACATTGTTGGGACAGTAAAATGATACAAGACAACTGACCCAATTTTGTTTATCCACCAAAACCCTACTTGATGTTGGAAAGTACTGACAAAAAAACTAAAACTCGAGGACTGTCCAAGGCAAAACAAACTCTAGCTATGCCACTGCCTAATTGTAACATCTAATTAAGCTTCTACAAATACCTGTTTGTCCATTGAAATCTGGGGAGCGGAACTTGGCTCGGATGGTGAGGTGTGCAACATAGTAGTTCTTAAATTGTATTTCTCCTATCTGTATAAAAAAAAGTAAACATAGATATTCATAAGTATACTTTTAACTGAATTAAACAACTCATCATAATAGATTTTTATATTGTACTAAAGTAGGCCTACAGACAGTAAAACACATATATACTGTATAAATAACAAATTAAACACGAAAAAACCTACCTCTCTTATAAATGAATCATCCTTATGAAAGCAACCAAAAGAAATTTTTAAAAACTATTAAATTTATCAAAATGATATTCCATTAATTAAAATACATTTAATTTGCAAAACAACAGATAGAAAATTGAACATAAATGCTAAAATGAATTCAAATTAAGAACATTTTATTAAGAAATCAAATTATCAATGGTGATAATCTGCCCACTTTAATTTAATGCAAAACTTGTGTAGAATCCGCGTCCAACAGGAATATGAAAACAATGGATCAGGGAATCCGATACGGAAGTGTTCTTCACTAGATTAAATTTAAAGTAGATACACAAAAGAGACACAAACACTGTTTTCATAGTCGGATATTATTAGACCAACAGTTAGATATTATTAGACCAACCGTTGGTCTAATAATATCTGACTATGAAAACAGTGTTTGTGTCTCTTTTGTGTATCTACTTTCACTTGGATTTAATCAGATTAAAAAGAGTTCCATCAAAAGACTATATGGCTTTCTTATAATACAGAATTAAGCTGCAACACTGTGTCGTTGCCAGTTCGTACAATAAGAAAAATGTGACATGATATTCCTGTCAGGAAATGAACCCATGACCCCAGGCATGGAACCCATTCACCTCTACCCTTAGTTACTATACTTGTAACGTTAAACTGTGTGTTTAACGTTACAATTGATACAGTCTAAGAATCCTTACGCAAGTTCAAATAGGTTCAAACGCACAATTGTCAACACATATCATTACAGTTTGTATTGGAATAAGTAATTCTATGACAAATAGTGAAGACTGGACCACTAAAATAGTTACCGAACAGTTTTTCTTTGTGGTTATGCGTTCTACATTTGCATAGCGATGTTTCTTGTAATGACGTATACACACAAGCCACCATGACACCAGCCAGTTGAAATTTCGCGTAGCAGTTGGGTTTCATCAAATCATATAATTATGCGGTAAGGCTTCACCTTTATTTCAATAGGAATTGATTTATTATATGTTAAGCTAGGTGCAGTACTGTTTTGGGCCAGTTTAGGTGTGAATTAAAGGAGCTATAGGCCAGTAACCTTTTTGTAGTGATTTCACTAAAAACCTTGCGCAAAGGAACTCTGTAGGGCGGTCCACTACTGTGGCTGGAGTAAGGCGGAAGACATCAGTAGTGGAACCATTTCTACTCTACCTTCTGAGCCAAAGGGAATTCCCCCTGACCATGTCAGTATGAAGTATAATTGACCTCGAGACACATCTGACAGGACCTGTACCCTTGTTATACAAACAATCACACAGCAACAGCACACTACATATTTTGGCCGTTATGACCAATGCCCAAAGTAGGGCCGTTTTGACCAAACCTGTTTTTAGCCGTTATGGTTTAGGGCCGTTATGACTACAGTGCATCCCCATATTTACATCCCTGCTACATGTACTGTGAAATGTTAATAATCATTTAATAATATACATTTCAATGGATAATGATCAATAATATTATAATATGATTAAATGTTTGTGAAATAATATCATTATCATACCTCTGGATTGATTACATTTGGAAAAGTGACATCAAACATTTTACAACCTGAGCTAAAATCATGCTTATGGTCACCTACTAAAAGACTGACAGTATTCTTAATGCTGCAATGTATTGGTTTTTCTTGAGTGTTCGAATTTCTAGCCATAATTATGAGCTAAGATCAACAAAAATTTTAAGACCAATTTATTTTACATTTTTTTGTTGTTGACATTTTTAGAGTAGCGTCCCCTGAATCAAAATTTCTACTCTCTGCTACCAAATGGCCCTACTGATTTTGTTTCTTTAAAAAAGCATACCTGGGGCACAGATGTAGAATATTGTAATAGTGTTTTAGTTTTGTAATTCAGAATTTAGAGCACATTCATTTATATATTTTGGTAACAATACAAAGACATTTCTTGCCATTTTCTCGTATCAAACGAGAAACTTACTTCCTGAGAAGCAAAATGGCGTCCGAATATGACGAACCGATATCTGAGCAAGAAAGAGTGAGTAATACAAGATAATGCTATCTGAATTACCACCCATCTAGTTTTGTTTATTTTGGATTATAACCACGCGCATTTTAAAAATATTAGTCTAATGATATAATCGTTTCTTGAGATATTTGCAGCCGGTGTCTGATGCAGAACCACCCATTTTTCTAATTTGTCAACTTCCGCCTCCCAGCCAGACCCTTCAGAATTTGTAAATAAATACCTCGGTGTTGTCTTAATTATTCGTTTGTTTAACCTTTAGAATTGCGGTTTTCCTGTAATATAGGAGGATATCCTTGTTCGAAATAGAACTTCCTTATAAAAAAAAATGCAATTTTGCAAACCAAAATTGATAATTTGAACATGCTTGCTTGTACAAATTACTGCACAGTGACAATGTCATCAATGTGAATGTTAGTTGTTTAAAGTTGTAAATCATGAGTAAATCTACAGAACAAAGGAAAAAACCGATGGTACTATCCTATTCTACCTACAAAGATTAAAGAAACATAATTAAAAATAAATGTCAGTATGTAAGGCTACCACCAATATATAAAATTAGAATTATATTTATATTATATTTATCTTTTGCAGGTAAAGATTGCATCCAATTTTATTCGTCATGCACCACCAGGAGAGTTCAATGAAGTATTTAATGGTTGGTTATGTTACTTTTTACAAATAATATTGTAATTGTTGTCACTCATGTCTGTGGTTTGTCATCTGTTGTTCCGTTGTCTATCCATAATTTCTTGTGAACAACCCACAAGTCAAAGTTCATTTGGTCTAAAGGAAGAACACTATCAAAAATTGGTTCACAAATTTTCAAGTTAGATATGTAATTTATAACTTATGAAATTGAGTGAACCTGATAATATTTGAAAACTTAATGAGATTGGCAGTTTAGTAGGGCTGTGTCTATACAGTTCATTGTCAATACAACAATACCTATTGACAATAGGCAAACAGATACATGGTACGTATCGCAATATGCTGACATCACAAATTATACCCAAAATAGTCTCAAATAACATTCTGTTTCAAGGTGTTTGAGATGGCTAAGCATGCTTATTGTTCCCCCCAAGGTTTCCACCTCTGCCTTAAATAGACAGCATGTGGCTTTATTATTTTCTTTTGATAAAAAATGAAGCCAAATCTTTGACTTATTTTTGCCGGACATACTAGCAGACGATAACTATATAGCACACAATTTAATAAGTTTTATGGTCTTTCTTAACCGAAGAACATATTTTTTCAATGATACGGCGATACAGCTATAGTCTGCTATAGTCTGTATCAATATAAATATTGCCGGAACCTATTGATACAGCCCTACAATTTGGTGTGTAAAGAAAAACCTAATTGAATTCCAATATCCTTCCATATATATTGTTTTTATTTTTAAAAATGACAGTGTTCATTGTGAAAACCTGCTATATGTAGTGTTTGTAAATGAGAATTTTAGAGCTAGTATGGAATCCTTTGCAGCTAGTGGTCCTATGTTATATTTTTCTGATATACCGGTACTTTGTTAAAAATTAAAGAAAACATTTCAGTCTGAAGATACAGATTTCTATATTAGTCACCATGGCTCGAAATGTTCGCCTGTCTACTTGTCGCTGACAGGCGATTTTTTCGTCTGACAGGTAGCAAATAAAACTACCCGTCCCTTGCGACAGGTGGACTAAATTTTACTTGATGTTTAGTAAATTGACCACAATACTCACGTCCACGTCACATACATTTAATTATTCATTTCTAAATGCAAGAATTAAGCACGAAAATACCGCGAAAAACCACCATTTGCACTGTTGACATTTCGCTCTGTCGTAGGCTACAGTCACTCACACAGTTTGGAAGTAGACAATTTTATAACAATGAATTTTGGAATGGAAATGCACACGGCTCGTTGCTTGGTGTATTTAGTTTTAAACAATTTCCATAAATAAAGGCCATGAATAATTTATAAGACAATTTGACAAAATCAAATAATCAGGTCCTAAAAATATTTCATATATTTATAAATATAATTTGTATAGTAAATATAGTCCGGATATGTGAGAAGGGAATTCCAGGTGGCGTTATCTGCCCTTCGCACGCGGTACATGTAAATACAGTGCCATGCACAGGTGTGATTTGCTTTTTGAAATTCAATTTATTACGGATATTTTAAAATCTGAATTCTACAACTCAACGGCAATGTAATCGATTTAGTACAAAAGTGTGGTACCATGATAATGTGTGGAATTCACGTGGATACGGATGATAGAATTGTACGAATCTTCGAGTCGCTGGGCCAAAGCAATGTCGAAGAAATAAAAATGTTTCATATTACGGTATTTATATGGAGCAATATGTCGAGACCTAAACTGAAGCGACAGGTATGAAGAAAAGCTACCTGTCGCTTTTGACATTTTCGAGGCCTGAGTCACAGACAGGTGTCACTCAATAATCAGCCATATGCAATGGCTTCCATTGATCAACATATGTAAATTCAATAAGTTTAGAGCCTACTCATTATACCATCTAGTCTGTTTACAGTAGTAGCCATTTTGTTTAAATACAATATTTTTGTATTTTTCAGATGTTCGAATATTATTAGACGATGATAATTTATTGAAAGAAGGCGCTGCCGGGTTAGTACCTTTTAATGATGAATTTAAATCCTACTTGTAAAATAACTAGGTTTATAGTGTTTCATAGTCACTACTGCATATTTCACAAGGGGAGACAGAGTAGTCTTATATCTTAAGGTCTGTTATTGAATTTAAGTAGCAGGATTGATCGCAGGGATCAACTTTCATGTTTTTTACTGAAACCCTTAAGCAGAAGCAAATTTTTAATATATACATATAGATGTACAAAGTCTTTCCTGGAAAACCTAGTCTAGGTTCCGTGACGTGCGTTTCTCATACAATTCGTATATAAAAAAAACAAAACAGAATAGCCAAAAATTCTAAGCTTTTTTTTTTTTATATTTCACTTTTTTTCCTTTTAGAGCATTTGCCCAGTATAATAAAGACCAATTTACACCATGTAAAGTAGATGGATCAGAAGAACTGGTGAGATTTATTAAATTATTTATGTTAAGTTTGCATATTGGTGTACACGTAAAAGATCCCTTGGCAGTTGGAGTAGGGCATAGGGCTGCTGCCCAGGCAAAATTTCCCTCATAGCACACTGTATGGCGTATGTCCGTCTTCATTAGCCCAGTTTAGGAGCAAAACAGTAGGACGTTAAACCCCATTTCATTTCATTTCATTTGTCTAATGTGTGCACTTTAGATCATACTGCCTGTCATTGAGAAAATTTACATAGTTACGATCTGAAGGATGTACATGACAAGGAGTAGCTTCTCCTGCTTAACCTTATGAGTTTTCTCCATCTTCTAAAGACCCCTATGCACAAACGAATTATTGAAATAAAATTGCACCATATGATAGTCTCAAATGACCTAGTTTGTGTGGTTGAAACGTCCAATTGAGTGTATTTTAACATGGATTAAGCTATAAAAAATTACATATTTACATATTGTCTGGTAGATTTACGATTGAAATCTGCATTTTTTTTTGTACTTATACTAGGAAATCTGAAATGTGGGTTAATCGAATGCTGGAATGGCAAACAACCCATGATTAACAATGTGTCCTATAAGACTACTGACTATTATTAAAGTCTTACAAGTACATTTTGTTTAAATTTATTTTCAGGCTCTTATTACTGAACATGGGGATAAAGGAAATGGACAGTTTATTGACCCTAGAACTAAAAAGATATTTAAGTATGTAAAGTCTTGTTTCATAAATTGTACAAATTACTTATAAAACAATATTTAGAATCTATATAGTTAAAAGATTTGTACAAAATAATCTACACAATTCTCAGCATGGGCAAGATGAACCTTTTAAGGTGTCAACTTCAGGAATGTTTGTCTTGGCATTCCTTTGGAACAAAAACTAAGGTTGTGTGTGCAAATTAATAAAATATAAAAGCACACGTAGCACAAGGATTTTGACTAATTTTTGGCAGAGTTCCATCAGAGATCTCCTCATAGATTCTTGTAAATATTGTTTCTAGAAATATAAAACACAGTTAACCTTTGTTTATATCATAGATCCATGGTTGCTTAGTAAGACGGGGGGCGGGGGGGTTGGATGGCTGAATGGTTAGCAAGTGCGTGCTGTATCATACGGCCTGTCATTGAGTCAACTGGCGTTGTTTTCGAATCCCCGGTTGTACGTGACAAGGAGTAGGGTCGCTTGTCCAACCTCGTGGGTTTTCTCCAGGTCCTCCGGTTTCCTCCCACTGCTAAAGACCCTTACGCGTAAGCGAATTATTGAAAAAAATTAAACCATATGTTAGTCCCCAAATGACCTAGTTTGTGTCTAGTGGACATTAAACCATCTCTCTCTCTCTCTTTCTCTCTCTCTTGGTTCGAGGCATTTGTTTTGATCCAGGTGTCAGTGATGCAGGATGTCTATTTGTTTGGATGAGGGGTGTTCGATCCCTGCATTGGCTGTGAAAGTTCATCCAGATTTTCCGACGTAGTTCCCCCTTGTTAGTGATGCAGGACGGAGGGCTTGACAAGGACAGCTGTCTAGTCGTTCGGATGTACATGTAAAAGATCCCTTGACAGTTGGAATTTGATATAAGAGTAGGCTGTAGTGCCGCTGTCCAGGCAAAATTTCCCTCATAGCAAAATATATGGCGTATGCCCGTCTTCATTAGCCCAGTTCGGAGCAGAACAGTAGGACGTTAAACCCCATTTCATTTCATTTGTTTGGGTTTATTAGCCTTGTATGTGCAGAAAAGTAAGACTTAAAATTTCATTTCATTTGATTTGTTTCATTGTCACAACTAATTTGTGTTTTATTTATAATTTCCCCAGATACGACCATTTACGTAAAGAAGCAAAAGATTTCCAACAAGGTGACGTAGATCATAAAGCGGAGGGGTGGAGATCAGCATTAGAGTCTGTTTTTACACAATATGTACACAGTCATTATTTGTATGGGGCTAGTTCAGTATATGGTTCATACGCTGGTGGTAATATAACACTGATAGCTTGTATAGAAACACACCAATTTAAACCAGCTAGTTTCTGGTAAGTAACCATTTACAGTTGTTGTTCAGGATTGTGGGCTTATAGATTTGACTCAATTACACATAATGCAAGAGCTAAATCTGCCCGAAATGTTATATAAACTTTTAATGAGACATTTATTAACATGAAAAGACTTTAATCAACTCTCAATGCCATCTTATGTGTCGGATTTTCACTGGATTTGAATCCGATTTGCTGCTCAACGCTCATTAATGATATAATCAAAAAATGGATAATCAAGACTATGTTTTTTTATCATACCGACTTTAGTAATGATCGAGGCTAGGCCTAAAATTCAAATGCTAATATCTCGGTTCAGAGTTGTTTAGCCATTTGGCTGAAATTTTCAGCATATTACTGTGTGTACATTGACGTACACGTTAAAGATCACTTGGGAGTTGGAATTCAATATAAGAGTAGGCCATAGTGTCGCTGTCCGGGCAAAATTTCCCTTATAGCACACTGTATAGCGTATGCCCGTCTTCATTAGCCAAGTTGGAGCAGACGTTGAACCTCATTTCATTTCAGTAAACCATACATAGTAATGTTTTGTTATTCTAGGAATGGTAGATGGCGTTCCCAGTGGTCTGTAACATTCCCTGAATCTGGTGGTTCTGCTGAATTAACTGGTTTAGTTAAAGTTCAGGTAAATTAATGTTTCAGTTTGTCTTTTTATGCAAATAAAGTTTATTTGTAAAGCAGTCACAGTGTAAATATGAAAATTGTTTAGGGAAAGGGAGATAATCCATCCTGACACCAGAGTAATATATATTTGCATTATGAACTAGTTCCTGATCTTTCTTTATTTTATCACTCGTCCGGAACAAAATTAGGTAGAAATATTAAAATGGACTCTGCCCATCCATCCTGATTTTGTTTCCTCAGCATATCTCATAAACAGCTTATCCATCCTGAGTTTGTTCAAGATATCCTTATGAAACTTTATACACATTTCAACTTATTATAGTAGTTGTGCCTTTTGACAATTAGAAATCTCACCTTTGAATGATTTTTGTCTTTACAAAATCTTGTTCAAGTACGAGGGATGTTGATGACTGAGTCATCTATTGCAAATAATATCGTAAGATAGAAATTTTGTTTTTTTAAAATTTAATTTTGTGCAAGTATAAAATGTAAATGGTATGACATATTTGATGTTTATAGGTACATTACTATGAAGATGGTAATGTTCAACTTGTTAGTTCCAAAGATATAAAAGAAACGGTTACTATATCAGTAAGTCTTTAATATATGACAAGCCTTCAATATATTGTTTCTACATGTATGTACTGTTGTTAGGGTGGTATATGATGACAGGCCTTCAATACATTGTTTCTATGTAGAGTTGGTACGGTGGTTTTACACCTCCAGTATATGATTATAATAAGAATAATAATAATATATTTATATTGCGTAGTATCCATGCATGAGCAAGCACAAAGTGCAGTCCAATAACATACCACAACTCTCACAAGACTGTATACAATTAAAGAGGCATTATGGGAGATTAGATAAAGACTTGACAGTTCTCGCTATAATAGTTAAAAAATAGATAAAGTAAATAGAATATGCTGAAAATTTCCGCTAATTAATAATGTATATAGCATTTACAGCCCAAAGAAAGATCTGCAATAGCCAGATTTAGCTCTTACATAATGCATGTTTAATAGTAGAGATGTAATATAGACTTGGCCTCTTCCTCAATCTTTTTCTGAGAATAGAATATAGTAATCAGTAATATTGATTTTAAAACAATCTGGACAAAAATTTGGGTAATCTCTTCATTATATATATATATTATATTAACAAATGTTGTGTTTGATTATAATAGCCTGTCTGGTTGGCCAGTTTTCATCATTTATATAATTGTCAGCCAATGGGAGATTGTGTTTTATAACATGTCAACAGGTTGCAATTAAAATGTTAATATAATTTGAGTACCAGTACTTTTTGTGTATCCATTCTACAGAAACATGACAAACATTTTCCACTATTTCAGACAGAGCAACAAACAGCCAAAAGTCTAGTAAATATAATTTCAGCAGCAGAGAGTGAATACCAGGTATGTTTATAATTTACTTGTTCAGTAATAGATAAGTAAAAATACCTTCATTTAGAAACTGTTGACAACTAATTACTGAATACTATGTATTTTAACCCTTTGGCACATGTTAATATTGACAATCCTGGTAACCTGAAAAAATAATGTGAAAACTACTATATTCTCTAGACCCCAGTCATAGAACTAGTATACACTTCTTAAAACATCTATTCATTTGACTCTAGTGATTAAGGCACTAGATGAAGCTATATTTTTAGGTTGTCCAGGTGCTAAAGGGTTTTGGGGGGTGGGGTGTGTGAATGGTTTATGTCTGTCATTGAGTCATGGGGCATGGCTTCAATTGCCCGCTTGTGCGTGACAAGGAGTAGGGTTGCCTGTCCAACCTTGTGGGTTTTCTCCTGAATCCTCCGGTTATTCCCACAGTTAAAGACTCTACACTCAACCGAATTATTTAAATAAAATGGAACCATATGTTAGTCCCAAAATGACCTAGTTTGTGTCCAGTGAACATTAAGCCCAATTTCTGTCTCACTAAAAAGTTATGGTGAGTAATTTAACGAAATAAACATAGTGTACTAATATTTGATAACATTTATTTCATTTATGTTCTTAGACACAATGGGGGATCACGGTAGCTAAGTGGGTAAGACACTGGCTTGCTAGCCTGGAGGTCGGGCGTTCGATCCCTGCATTGGCCGAGAAAGTTCATCCAGATTTTCCGGAGTGATTCCCCCTTGTCAGTGATGCAGGACGGAGGGCCTGACAAAGACAGTTGTCTAGTCGTTCGGATGAGACGAAAAACTGAGGTCCCGTGTACACCTTGGCGTTTACGTAAAAGATGCCTTGACAGTTGGAATTCGATATAAGAATAGGCCGTAGTGCCGCTGTCCGGTCAAAATTTCCCTCATAGCACACTGTTTGGCGTATGGCCGTCTTCATTAGCCCGGTTCGGAGCAGAACAGTAGGACGTTAAACCCCATTTCATTTCATTTTCATTTCATTTCTTAGATACGCCAATAACAGAGTTTTATTTGAATTTAATTATACTTTTACTTTATTCTTATTTCAGAAAGCAGTTTCCGAAAATTATCTGACAATGTCAGATACGACTTTTAAAGCACTCCGAAGACAACTTCCCGTAACTCGAACAAAAATTGATTGGAACAAAGTTATAATATCAGGCTACAAAATAGGTGGCGAGCTTAAAAATGCCTAGTTATTTTCATAAATTAAATATATTCATCTTGTCTTTAAGTAATTATATTCAGTTCCCACCCGCTTTTTGTCTTGTACAAATATTACCACTTCCAATAAAATACATCATTTCTCTTACAAAGTCAATTATATTTGAGGGGATATTTAACAAATGGTTACACCATGCCTGGAAATAAGGCACCTGTCACAGACAATGTTAGGCACAGATTCAGGCTTTGTCAGGCACTAAACTTCTGGTGACTGTCATTTTGTCCAGCACTGATTTGTCTTTTTTTATTAATATATGTCCGGCACTAAGTTGAAAATGCCAGGTACTATTTCATTAGTGCCTGACATTTTGCCAGGTATATCTAATACCGTTATTTCCAGGCCTGGATTACACCTGTTAATATCTGTGACTTCTGTGTCCAGAGCATGTCTGTAAAATTCAACATATATTTTGTTTAATATTGCCTAAAGAGATCATTTCCTGTTAATTTATTAGCATATTGTTCTAAAATGATTAAAGTTTATTAATTGCTGCATATACAGGAATTACAAGGGAACTTTCAATTTGGTGATTTTAGCCAATCTGTGAAAAAAAACATTTATTCAGTTTTAGCATTGCATTGTGAGGTCCATATATAGATCACTTAACAATATATAAACATATTAATACATTAGGCATTCAGCTAAGCAGGTCAAGTATTGATACCATTAGGTGAATCATATGTTACTCTAAATGAAAGACACTCTTTAAATATTCGAAAAAGAATTAATGGAAGTTTGTATTTTCTGGTATTTAAAGCTGATTGTCATCATTTGCGTATTTCAGACAATATCTAATTTTTCAGGGATTAATCCACTCTAAATTTCATGATTATTTAACATTTAATTAAAGATACATTATGGGAGATTAGATAAAGGGAATTTACTGAAAATTTCAGTCAAATTGATCCACTCTGAATCGAGAATTTAGCGATTGAATTTTCGGCCTCGCCGCTATCATCATTACTAAAGTCGGTACGATAAAAAACATATCTCGATTATCCATTTCATAATTAAATCATGAATGAAAGTTGACTAGCAAATCAGATCCTAATCCAGTCAATATCGCAGGCTAGTGATGACATCGAAAGTTGATTATGGTCTGGATATGTTAATGTCTAATTAATAATTTAGATAACTTTTCACTCCTAAAGAAAGACCTGCAATAGGCAGATTTAGCTCTTGCATAATGTATGTTTAAGAATACACAAAATAGAAAATCTTCTGGCTTTTGGTCTTATATTAGTATTATTAGACGCTTGGACATGACAAGGAGTAGGGTTGTCTGTCCAACCTCATGTGTTTTCTTTAGCACCTACATACATGCAAACAATTGGGAAAAAAAAGTGAACCATATGTTAGTCCCAAAATGACCTAGTTTGTGTTGGGTGGATGTTAAACCCCATTTCTCTCTCTCTCCCTATTATTAGAGATTCAATTTTCTTGATATTGTAATTGACAAGGTTCCAAATCTGAAATGACGGAACAACAGCTTTAAGAAGAGAAACTTTGTGTTTTATATTTTAAAACTGAGTGGTTGGTTGGTTGTGGTTGAACCTGGTTTATTATTGTCAGGATAAACTTTGTACAGAGAATATTTTTGAAAATCATGCATTTACCAAAAATATAGAATCAAGTAGCTCAACTCTTTATATTATTCTATCTAACTATTATTTAATACACTGGATTATATTCTTCACAAAAGATGGTGCCAGTTTAGGGACCCATAGTAATGCCATGGTGTGATATAGTTTTATAAAAGCATTTTGCTGGGTGGAAAGATTCTTGTTTTTAAAAATTATATGTGTTTATTCCCTGCTTGTGTTATGATCAATCATGGATGTTAAAATTAATTCAATATGAAATTATGAACAAAATTAGTATTAAACCCATTAAATCTGTAAAATAGTCTACAACACCCTTTAGGTATCACCCTAGAATCTTTGGCTAGGTGCATGTTGAAAATCCTCTGATGAATTTGTTTCAAATATTTTAGCCCGTTTCTATATACATGTATCATAAATGATAAATAATTAGGGTTTCACATTTGTGCTCAAACCAACTTGTCTTATCTTTCTATGCAGTAAGTATGGGAATATGAAATTGTTACACATACACATTTATTTGGGCGACATTAGTAAGAGTATTCACTCAACATTGTCAAGCCTGAAAATGTAAACAGAATACTCTACGAAACGTCAGCCAAATAAATTAGTAATTGTATAGTTTATTGCAATCTGATTAAAATACAGATCTATATTACGCTTCGTTTTTATACTTACGATGGCCTACACTACATGAAGATCTGACCGGTTGTAGCGATAGGTCGCGTCGGAGGTCATACGAGAGGCTTTTCCCCTATTACCTCAGACATTTGATTAACCAATCAGCATTGATGTTGATAGTGGATTATCCACAGTTCCGTGCAAAACACGCCAAAAGCTTGCCGTAACTGACCGTTTGATATGGTAATTCCTCACACCATCCAGAACATGTCAATGATAACAACTCTTCCAGATCCTAGTGAAGTAAAGACAAGTTAAACGAAATTTTGAACTATAAAAAACGAAACGAAATAGGATCTGTGTTTTAATCAGATTGAGTTTATTGCTCTATCCAAATACTAAATGTCAGTAAAAGATTATTATATTAATATTAATAAAAATAATGGGACAGTAGTGTGATTAATGTCTAGCACTGAGACTGATGCCATAAATATTGAAATTAATACAATATAAATTAAGATCAATTTAAATAATAAACAGATATAAGATCATTTCTATTTTGGATTATTTTAACCCTTAACAGGTCTTTGTCAGCTTTAATCACCATAACGTTATACAGCTAAGTGGTCATGGTTGACCCTAGTCGACCACAGTAAGAACCTTTTGTTATAAGCTGCATTTGAGTATTTAGTTTCGTATTTAATTGATATGGCCACGCATGCATGTTAAGACAGGAACATGTCTTGTCAAGGGCATTGAGAAAAAAATGTTGGGAAGGTTAGAGACTCAAAGTGGTTGAAATGCTTATGAATGATTCCGACTCCGATTATATCGATGACACCGATTCTGAAGACAATATTTCTGATGAAAATGATTTAAAAAAACGAGAGACAACGTGCAAATTGTAGATCAACTTATCCCCTTCAACTTTTTTATTGGTGACAAGGGTATATCACTTATAATTATGCGGCAGGAGTCGTTGGAAATAGGCATACAAAATAATTCACTTTAGCCTTTATTTAGCCTGACATCATGACATCAAAATGACATAGACCGGTTAAGGGTTAAGTTTATATAAACTTAGTACATCTTGTTAGAATTATCATTCCCCCCCCACCCATATTTAAATTTTTAAATTAATACCATGTATTTAAGTTATTACAAGACCTATTCAAATGATTATCATTGTGATTTGTAAGTATAAAATTAGCATCCACCTCCCAATATTCCAATCTAAGTGACATAAGTAATGATATTTCTGGTACCAGTTCTCTCTGTATTGTACATATATATAAATTATATTAATAATATCTATATTTATGCTCATTTTTTAATTCAAATTTTTTTATGAGATGCTTTTTTTAGAATGATTATTATTATTAATAACATGTTTTCTAGTATTAAGACAATTAGTTTATGGTTAAGGAAGAACATAAGGTGAAAAATCGCATCTTCAACTGTAACACTTTAAGCATTTTCATCTTGCGTCTGCTTCTTAACTGTATGTAATGCTTCGAATTTTTAAGCTTTCAATTGTTGTAGAAACGATTGAAAATAACAAAATAACAGTATTTTCATATTTCAATCAAAATTCTGTTGAACTGAGTACATTAGTTAGATTAATGCCTTAACTGAAGTCCACCGATTATTTTATATCTGAAAAAAAAAATTAATTGCAGACTTTTTGTGAGGTATAAAATTTAACATTAGGAAGCTGTCTTTGTTGAAAAGTACTGTTGAAAGCAATACAAATGTACATGTTTTATTTTAATGAATATATCTATCTAAACATAAGATATTTTTAATATAAGATCTATTCAAATTGGCCCTCGTGAATGCAATCTGATTAAATACAGATCTATATTTCGTTTCGTGTTTTTGGGGTGGTTTTTTTAACTTTAGCGGTAGCCAACACAAGTAAAACAAAATTTTGAACTATAAAAAAAACGAAAGGAAATGGGATGAGTATTTTAATCAGATTGGATAACACACCTGTATAGGTAACGACGCTTTTTTTATTAAGTAGAGTTTTATAGGCTAATTATGTTGTGCCTGTGGTCTGATTAAATCGTGTCTGTGGTTATTTGAAGCAGTAGTTACAGTAGTTAATCTGATCCGGTGAACCTAAATAAAATAGGTCACAACACTTCATTCCAGGCGTGTTTAAATGTGCTTTGGTGTATTTTCTTTCCTGTGCTAACTAGACCGGATAGTCACCTTAAGTCCGGGGTAACAAAGACAGAGAAAATAATCTGAAATTACAAACAATATTTCACAAACTACTATTTTAATTGTTTCGTATCCATAATGTCACGTGAGCGACTGTAATACGGTTGTTCGTTGTCGTGGCGTTCTATATTTGGATATTTTGTAGGCGCACCCGATAATCAAATGCAGTGCTGGATCGGTAATGTTACAGAATGGTGATCGCTTACTATAGAATTCAATGAAGACTGGCGAATGTTTTTTTGTTTTTTTTTTTTTTATCAATCAATCAATCAGCGGAAGCCAAAATTTCATAAGAGGTTACAAAAATCACAGCTTGTGGGCGCCACCATTTTGACAGGTGACGACAATCCCAAAACCGTCACTTGCAATGCATGCACACAATTTATGGTGATTTCGATGTGTCGCCGGTTGCCTAACAATTGCTTGTTGCTTCAACGTGCGAAAACAATCACCCATATGCACTAGCCTTTATTGAATTCTATAGTCAACAATTTTGTAATCGCTGCCGATAAAACACAACATTTTATTTGTAGCTTTACTCTTGTACACGTGCTGTGTTAAAAATTAGATGTACATAATATGTTGATAAACGTTTTCACAGGTGCTTCAAATAAATGTCGGCTTTAGTGTGAAAGGTGTCTATTAGGTGGTTATATTGGGCTTATTTGACTCTTGCTTCTAATGAATTCATAGAGATCAACACCTTTTTGTAATGTTAATTTTTTTTCATGAAGAAGATTATGACACCATTATTAAAATAAATCATACCTACTATTATTATAATACTGTGTTTTGTTTTATATTTTATTTCCTTGTCAGTGATGCAGGGCGGAAGGCCTGACAAGGACAGCTGTCTAGTCGTTCGGATGGGACGAAAAAACCGAGGTCCCGTGTACACATTGGCGTGCACGTAAAAGATCCCTTGGCAGTTGGAATTTGATATAAGAGTGGGCCGTAGTGCCGCTGCCCGGGCAAAATTTCCCTCATAGCACACTGTATGGCGTATGCCCGTCTTCATTAGCCCAGTTTAGGAGCAAAACAGTAGGACGTTAAACCAAATTTCATTTCATTTCATTTTATATTTTATATTCTCATATTTTATTGTGAATGCTAGTCTGAACAACCTTCGGGTGCCCTTCTATGGTCACGACTATATGACAAAGTATAGTTCACTACACTCGAACGATAGTCGTCAAAATGGTCACCGCTCTCTTCTATGAACTGCCACAAAACCGTTTACTTGACGCAAGCGCAAGTTTGCTTTCCGAAAACTTTGATATGACCACATCATTCTTTGGAGATAAATTCCCGGAACGTTTGCCAAAAGTTTCTGATTATGCTGTTCTAGAGGTAAAATATGAAACGACGATTTCAAGAAGTCTACTCACAGTTGAGTTAGTGACCGTGTTATCCCCAGACCAGACAATAAAATAAACAAACAAACCAAATATCCAGAGTTTATGCACAGTTACATAATTTATATTTATAATGTATATCAAACTGATGTATTTAATGAACAAAATGGTTTGTTTGCATAATTGTATTTCCAAATAAAATTCACAAATGGATGAAATTGTTTAAATAGAATACTGTCACTTTTACAATTTAAGTTCAACATCAACCTTGGTCAAATTGGTTGATTATCTACTCTATAGGCGTACGAGCTGGGCGCCCCCCCCCCATTTTGGACACCAAATGCTGGGAAAATTTGGGCACACAGTTGTATAAAAAAATATTGTGTTCTTGAATGTGTCCAATTTAACAGCAAATTTATTATTATTATGTAACATACTAAGAACCTAACTACATTTTTTGGGCACCAACCACCACCGCCCCCCCCCCCCGTCAAAAATTTCCCCGTACGCCTATGATGGAAACTACTTAAATATATTATCTGAATTTAAATAACCCTCCGGTTCTGGGGCAACATTGGTAATATACGTTCTATCTTCAAATAACAATTCCAACACAACATATGTTTTGTCGCGGGCCGCCATTTGTAATCTGACTTGACCAGCCTCAACCGACCTCGAAAGATGGGTTAACCATGGTCGCGACGACTGTAGTCTAACCATTTCAAGTTCGGGTGCGCATGGTCGCGACCTTATTGAACCATGGTTGAACATTTGGATGAGCCGAAGGCGGCCCAGGAGGTTACCGAGAAAGTTCATCGGAATTTTCCGGCGAGGTTTCCCCTTGCAGTGGTGCAGGACGGAGGGCATGGCAAGGACAACTGTCTAGTTCGGATGGGACTAAAACCGAGGTCCCAAGTGCACTTAAAAGATCCCTTGGTAGCTGGATTTCGATATAACAGTAGGCCGTAGCGCCGCTGTCCTGTCAAAATTTCCCTCAAAGCACACTGTATTGCGTTAGCCCGTCAGAACAGAACAGTAGGAAGTTAAAACCCAGTTCATTTCATTGCATATTTGTGGTGAAGTAAAGGTCCGTCAATTGTGCAATTAATTCCACAGATCCAAGTTTTTGATGGGGGCCACAGCTTTCGAGGCTTTTGTGGACGCCCAAGATGCTGTGGACTCTTTGAGTCAAATGTTATCATCCGATTGTCTTCACATGTATACATGCGTCGCAGTGGTCAAAGTCTTAAGAGTAAGCAGTCTATTTCAACGTTGGCGACGTCGTATCAAAACTGGAAGTTCATCAATCGATGTACAAATGTACAAGCAATAGTATGTCAAGTTTCATGTTGGTCGTACTGGAATTGACGGAACCTTGGGTTTTTTCGAAGAGCGTCTCCTACAAGAGGAAGAAGAGCATTTCTTGAATTGCAAAAGAGATTTACAATCGTCCATTTGTTAAAGTGCTGCGTTTCCATTGCGTCTCCACGTTTTCATTCGCAAAGTCGGAGCAGAACAGTAGAGCGTTAAACCCCATTTCATTTCATTTCCATTGCGTCTCGGGAGTGGATGACCGAATGGTTAGCGCGTGCGCTTTTTATTATAAGGTCTGTCATTGAGTCACCTGGCTTGGTATCTATTCCCCGGTTGTACGTGACAAGGAGTAGTGTCGCCTGTCCAACCTCGTGGGTTTTCTCCGGGTCCTCCGGTTTCCTTCCACTGCTAAAGACACCTGCCAATTGAACCATGTTTTAGTTCCGAAATGACCTAGTTTGTGTCGAGTTGACGTTAAACCCCATTTCTCGCTCTCTTGATTGCGTCCCGGGTATATTATTGTAATTGCCACCAACAAATGAGCAAGCATAGTAAAGATCAGACGATGAGCAGGATTATATTTGTCGTGGACCACATAATTAGACAAAATATTACCCAAATAATACATTGAGCGATGGGACAATTAATAGAAATATCAATCTAGTGATGTCACGCAATCAACCACCTCCTTGAAATGGCGGCACAAGAGGTCTGTCTCTAATGCAGATAATTTCAAAGATCACTGAAGTTGAGATTGTTTTCTGTCACTGGTGTCCGATAATGTCAGCTAATCTCAAAATTAAAAATCAACTTTATGTAGTTGTGTATGTAACTTAACATACGACATCTTGAGTTGGAGGCCGTAAACGCGATAGAGCACAACGATATCAATAGGATTTCTTAACTTAAAGATACATTATGTAAGAGCTAAATCTGCCTATTGCAAATCTTAATTAACTTAAACTTACCAAGACCATAATCAACTCTCGATGCCATGGATACATGCATGCGATATTTAGTGGATTTTAATACGTTTTGTGGTGGATGAAATAACCGTAAAAATTATAGCGAGAACTGTCAGCTCTTTATTTAATCTTACCTAATGCCCCTTTAACATACGGAGTCTTGAGTTGGAGGCCTTTTAAAGCCCGTGAACATGATATAGCACAAAGATATTCATAGGATTTTTATGCGCCCACATTTTCACGCGGACGTATTGTGCCGTCGCTCCTGTCCGTCCGTCCGTTCACATTTGTTTGCGGACACTCTACAGGTCACAACTTTTATCCGCACATTTCCGACCATAACTTCCTGGATTATGGCCCCTGATTATACGAAAAATCGGGTGTTTTTTTAGCTTGTTCTCTATCCATCTCTTGCAAAATGTGGGCGTATCTGGCCTGGCAACCGCTGTTTTTTTTTAATATTGTTATTGTTCATTTGGGAGTAAATGGGAAGCCCATCGAAATTCGGGAGCGTGGTGGCCCAGTGAGTAAGGTTCTGGCTTTCTAAAAAGGAGATCTGGGGTTCGATGCCGGTTTTTGTCAAGAAAGTCGCCCGGGGTTATCCAGCGTCGTCTCCCCTTGTCAGTGTTGCAGGGTAGAGGGCCAAGAAAGGACAGTGTCTAGTCGTTCGGGTGGAACAAAAACCGTGGACCCGTCTACGTGTTGCTGTGTAGGTTAAAGAACCATTGACACTTGGATTTCGATATAAGAGTAGGCAGTATCGCCGTAGACCGCGCAGAATTTGACGTACGCCTGTTTATTAGCTCAGTCGGTGCAAAAATGTAGGACTTTAAACCCCAGTTTGGAACTTTAGTCATCCCTCAGTTTATTTAAAATTTATGAAATCTCGAGAGCGCGATACACGACTGAGATCCCGAAAGAATGTTTTTAAAAACTCGACGACAAAGTAAATTATGGAATAAAAAAAAAAATACTATCGAATTTCTGCCCCTTGTACGAGACAGGATGTACATATACTATTCAAAAAAAGTAGGGGATATTTGATTTTGGGGGCATAATACTAAAATATGCAAATGACTACGAAAAAAGTCACTATAGAACCTAACAGAAGAAACATTTCCAGTTACATGTGACGCCCAAACGCACCAATAGCTACCGCATGGAATGCAGGTGATGCTTGGGATCATCATGGGGGTCCAATCCAAGATTTGCACGACTCTGACTTTGAATGTTACAGTCATTGTGGCATTGAATTCCAGGGTGGAAACATCAGTTTAATTGTTTTAGTGACCAGAAAACAAATTTTGATATGCGTCGGCTTACCCAAAATGAAAGATTACGTGTCCTTGGCATGCTACAGATCGGCACAACACAGGCGGTTGTGGCGCGGACGATGAATGTTTCTCAGTCTGTCATAAGCAGGCTATGGTCCAGATACCGTGATACACAATCTGTACAGGACAGACCACGCTCAGGTCGACTAAGGGCGACAACTCAAGCCCAGGATCGATTTATCCGTACCTTGGCCTTGAGAAATCGTATCATCACAGCAAATCAGATCAGCGCTCGTCTTCAAACAGACACTGGTGTGAGAGTGAGTGGCCAGACGATTCGGAATCGACTGCATAGGGGTCACCTTCGCGCCCGACGTCCTCGCGTGATCCCTTGTTTGAGAGATCATCACATTCAGGCAAGACGTCGTTGGTGTAGGGATCGTAAACACTGGGATAATCGACGCTGGCGCAATGTGATGTTTTCAGATGAGTCAAGGTTCACTGTTGATTTTTTGGACAGACGTAGGAGGGTGTGGCGTCGTCGAAACGAGCGCTTCCAAGACGTTAACGTCATCAGACATGATCGATTTGGGGGTGGTTCTGTTATGGTGTGGGGAGGCATCACTGTTGCTGGAAGAACGGCTTTACGTGTTGTTGCAGGGCGTGTTACAGGCCAGTACTACCGGGACAACATCTTGGCAGTCCATGTTGTGCCGTTCGCACGACGTCATGGCCGCCGTTTCATCTTCCAGGATGACAACGCAAGATGTCACAGGGCCAGGATCGTTACAGGTTACCTCCAACAACAGAACATCACCACATTACCTTGGCCAGCACTGAGTCCCGACCTCTCCCCCATCGAGCATGTCTGGGAC